AACATCATCTCCTTTATACCAACATTCCATCTTATCTGTCGTACAGCCGTTAGTGTTCTGGCCGGAAGTCAACACTCCCCCTCGGACGGAACACTCGGGCGAATCCAACTCAACGAACACCCAGCCCTTCTCGAAACTGCACGAACTTCCCTTCCGGTAACGGCTTCGTGAGGATATCCGCTACCATGCTGGTAGTGGGACAGTACTCAAACTTCACCTGCCCCATAGATACCCTCTCACGCACAAAATGATGAATCACATCGATGTGCTTCGCACGTTCCGAAACAATCGGATTCTTTATCAAACTTAATGCTCCCTGGTTGTCACCCCAGATACGCATCACGTCGATCTCACACCCAAACTCGGGCAGAAGTTTCCTCAGCCAGAGCGCTTCGCGAGTAGCTAGGGACGCCGCCATATACTCGGCCTCCACAGTCGATGCTGCTACAGTCGGTTGCAACCGACTCTTCCAGCTGACGGCTCCACCGCCAAGGATAAAGGCATATCCAGTTGTCGAACGGCGGTTGTCTCGATCCACTGCCCAATCCGCATCGGCATAACCCTCAATTGCCTTGCTGTCCCTGGCAAAACATAAACCGAAACTCGCAGTCCCCTTCAGATATCTCAGGATATCCTTAGCAGCCTCCCAGTGAGCCTTCGCCGGCTCAGACATATACCGCGCTAACTTAAACACAGCATGCGCGATATCAGGACGCGTGCACACTGCCAGATACATCAAACCACCAATTAACTCTCGGTAGCGCGTTGCATCCAACAATACCTGATCGATATCACTAGTACGGCTCANAACTAGACTTGGCGTCATAGGAACCGACTTAGGAACTGCATCCTCCATCCCGAACTTGGCCAACAATTCGGCCGTATACCGCTGCTGCGAGATTTTGACCTCGCCTAGCTCCTTGCTCCGACTGATCTCCATACCCAAAAAGAACGACACCTCCCCCAAATCACGGAGGTCAAACTCAGCCTTCAACTCTTGCTTTATACGGGCTATT